CCCCGGTGCACACTGAGTACTGCCTGGTCCAAGAAAGTGGCTCTGGTGGTCATGGCCCTCACAGGGTGAGGACCACAGGCCCTGCCCCTAGTGAGGGGGAGGCGCTCCTCCCCACCTTCTCCCACGGGGCTCAGAGAGTCCCCCTTGTCATCTCAGTCCTGGTTCTTGAGCAACAAATCCCCTGGGGGAGCCCAGGCCTGGCGCCTTCCACCTTCTGGGACCAGCTCAACTCAAGGTGGCCCTTCTCACCTTTCCTGTCTGCTTCCATGTGACTTGGCGGCACCCATCAGGATTGCAGGGGGGAGAACCTTCCATCTCACAACTCCCTCCCTCCCTGGAAACCCCTACAGCGCAAGCAGCACTGAGGGCAGGATGACGATAAGACAGTGCGGGGAACAGCAGGGGCGGCCTGGCCGGTGAATCCCCAGCAGCCCCGGGGAACAGGCTCAGCCTGACCTCCCCGCGCTGGTGAGATTTCCTAAGAAAGATGGAATACGAGCATGTCCCAGTGCTGAGCCCAACACTTAGAGGCTGCGGGCTCCAGGGAGGAGCCTCCAGGCAGGACACCAGCTTCCTCGTGGCCACAGCCCGGTGTCGAGCGACCTTCTGTGACGAGGCCGTCCTGAAGCCCCCACTGGCTCTCAGGGCGTGCACAGCCCTCCTGGCCCGCCGCTCACCTGAGCCCAGGGTCCGCAGGGAGGAGCGGTCGTACTTCTTCACCCAGGAGTCCCCGTACTTGAGCAGCAGCCGGACGGCCGTGGGGGCGCCGTAGAACTGAGTGATCTTCAGCCTCTGCACCGTCTCCCAGTACCGACCTGAGGACCCGGGGTGCCCGGTCAGCCTGAGAGTCCGCAGCGCAGCTCCCAGCCAGGGCCGGCCCACGGGGACGGGGCACCGTGTCACAAGACCGACTCCACACCCACTGCGGGCGGGAGGGTGCCCCACGCAGCGCAGCTGCTCCCCACACACCCTGGCCCTGCGCGCTGACCCACGTGCTGACCCTCGGGACACAGTGGGGACTCACGCCAAAGAGGTGATCCCCCCTCCTCCCTCCTGCGTCCTCACCGGGGTCAGGGTACACTGGAGTGCTCTCAAAAAGGACGCTGGTGGCTCCATTGCAGAGGGGCCCGTACACCACGTAGCTGTGTCCTGTGATCCAGCCGATGTCGGCCACACAGCCGAAGATGTCGCCTGGACGGTAGTCAAACACCAGCTGCAGGAACGGGAGGAGGGCAGTCAGGGCCTGTCAGCCCCTTCCCTCGCGTCACAGGATGTTCTGGAGCTCCAGGGCGCAGCCATTCCCACAGCCACCAAGAGCAAGACGGGGCACAGCAGTCCCAGCAGGGAAGATGGAGTCCCGGTGCACAGCCCAGCTTGCGCGGACGCCAGCACCAGGAGCCAGGCCCGGCAGGCACCCTGCGGCAGCCCCGGCACGAAGCCCAGCTGTCTGCTGAGATCGCCAGCCCTGGTCCTGGAGCCTAACAATAATTCACGAAGCCGCACGTTGGACTGGGGGGCTTTCCATGTCTGTGTTCCATTTTGCAAGACATTTTCCAATCTTTGGGTAAGTGGCCAGTCTCCGGCTGCCACAGATGAACGCTGAGGTTCTCCAAGAATTTCCCACAGCACAGCGGTGTCTCGAATCGGCCAGGGCCTTGTGGAGCCGCGACCCGAGGGGGAACAGGCGCCTTCCAGGGACGACAGCACTGGCACTGCAGCAGTGACGCGGGGCGCCCAGTGTGCGAGCCGGCCGCCTCTGCCTCCCGGCACATCCTCATCGACGCCGAGCCTGGCTGACCGACCAGCACCTCCCACCCCTGCAAAGTGACCCCACCCAGGCCGGTGACTTTGCCGGGACCATGGATGCTCCATGTCCAAGCCCTGCTTGGCTGGGCCTGCGCTTCCCAGTCACCCGTCCAGTCCGCTCCCCCGGCAGCTGGCACCAGCACGGGCTGACTTCTGCCTTTTGCCAGAGAAGGTCTGGTCCAGGAGCAGCGTCTTAAGACCCATTCCCACCTGGGGAGTGTCAGCTACTCCCCAAGGCCACCAAGGGTGCACAGTCAACGAAACACCCACCCCAGCCCGCGTTGAAGTGAGTGCTGACTCGCAACTGCATATGCTGGAGTGAAACCTAGCTCGTCTGCTTTGTGATTCTGACAGGGTGGCCTCCTGCAACAGTCTTCGTGCACTAAGGCTGTCTCCTCATACAAGCGAATCGGTTTTTAAGTTTTCCTTTCCAAACGGAGCCCCAGTGAGCAGAGCCTAGATGCCCTGAAGTGGCAGACGGCGTTTTAACGTGCAACAGGAATGCGCTGGTCCCTGCGCCACGCCTGCCGTGTGGAAGGGGCCCCGTCCCGCAGAGCAGGCGTGAGGCCCCACGGGAGACGCAGGGCTGGGGCCCAGGCCCTGACAGCAAGGACAGAGGCGCTGCCCCGCTCCCCGACCCCGCGCCCACCCCT